CCCCAAAATCCCAAAACCCCAAAACCCCAAAACCCCGTAATAATCAATAAATCAAATACTAGCCAAGTTAATTAAATATTAATAGTATATAAAAATATCACAAAAGCTTGTTGGCAAACGTTCTATCAATCCAATTTAGACCTTCAACACTAGCATTTCTCTCTGCTTACTTTTTATTGCTCCCATATGAAGTACACATAATCTCTCCATTATTATAAATCACATCAGCTCTAATCATTTCTGCTAGATAATCCTCATCAATCTTGTGAATAACAGGTAGCTCACTGAATCTCCATTGAGGTTTTATTCTCTTCTAATGGGAGTTAAGCAAGAACTCTTCCTTCGGCTCCTTGTATAGTTTCTTGCTGAATTATGCGATAAAGAGTACAAATGGTCCAACTAAGTTTCTAAATACTTAAATTACTGATTCCATACCCCCATCAATAAATATTGCCCCCATTAAACTTTCAAAGACATCTCCCAATAACTTGGGACATTCAAACAATTCCACCTCTCGCTAATTTAGCTTGAAATTAGGTCTAAATGAATACTTCAGATAATCAGTTACCTCTCTTTTATCAAAAAGTCCGAGAGTATCCTGGTAGAATACATATTTATGAATACCAAGTAGAACAGTCAGCTTAGCTAATAGCTCATTCTTTACAAGCAAAGATTTTGATTAATGTGCATCTGAAGGTGTGAAATCTTCATCAATTTGATAGCTATTTGGGTCCTTTTCTAGATATCTTTCAAATAATGTGTAGCGGATAAGACTATAGTTGCATAAGAAATCTAAGATTGAATCTCCCAGAACCTCTAACTTTTCATAGCAGACATTAATTTCTAAAGTGTCCCTTGCTGATTTATGAGTCAAAGCCTCTATTAAAAGCATTGGATTTTTAAACTAATAGCATAGCACATTATTTTGTAATTCTTAAGTCACAATTAAAGCTTTTTAAATGAGATATTCCCCCTTAAGAAATCTGCATTAATCGTAAGCTTGCCCTAATTCCCCAACATCTGAATGCTGTGACTCAAATCTTGACATAATAAACCTCATAAAGTTGGATGGGATTTTACTGCTTTCTCCTTCTATCAGGAAATATTTGGTAAAGAGATCTTTTGCATTATCAGTTATTTAAAATTAGTATAACTTCAAATCTTTATAGAGTCTGAATGTATTATCTTGACCAGGTTTTATGTAATCTAGCATATTAGTGAATGAAATTGGAACTAGCTTAATATCTGAAATCCATCTTAGCACTGTATTGAGACAGTTTGATGAGAGATATAGGGCACAAATTAAAGATTCTACAGTGTCAGCTACATTTTTGCCTACACATTTATTGGTAACCCATTACTGCTCCGAATTGTTGGCTTGGAGTGGAAAATTCCAATCTTTATAGTCTTAATCCTTCTTTGTTCTCATAAATCTTTACATCATTTGACTATTGCCAACTCTAAACAGATGAAAATTTGTTACGAAGCAGACTTTAGAATTCTCAATTTCACCTTCACCTGCTCTCTTATTATTTCTTTTTGAGTAATAGGCAAGCATGGTGGCTGCCAATTTCAAAATAGTGTCTCCATATGTTTCCAGTGTTTAATAATTCTTTCTTGATACATATAATCCTGGTGCAGTGGTAGCCCAAAGCATGTATTCCTCATTGAAGGGGTAATTTTAGAACAAACTTTGCTTCATATCTTTTAGCAAACCTATTCTCTCAATATAGTTAAATATTTAAGGGAGCTGAGAAGCTCTAGTGAAAGATACTTTATCAAGATAATGAAATTAAAGGCCATAGCTATGATGGATTGTAGGTATTCTTTTATTAACCTTCGTATTATTCTCCTGCTGAAATCTGTTGGAGTATACTATATTAGGATTTTAAGGAATTCCTTATAACTTGTAGGAGTACTTAAATTGTTCAAGATTTGAAAACTCTTTTAAATATACTATTGGCTTGTCTCTTATTTATGCTGGGTCATAGTCACTTAGCAAGTCAAAAGATTCTTCTCTAAACTTTTTAATAAGTTGAAGCTTAGTTGTAAAGTTATATAAGAAGTTTTTTGCAGATATGCCTGCGTAAGAATCTTTAAATTTTGTTTTGATCGGTTCTAGTATTTCACAAACATTGCATTAATTTAGATCTAGTAGGATTTAGGAGACCTCAAATATCAAGCCAGGGTTTATTTTGCTAAGAATCAGTTTGTCCTCCATATTATTTAAGAATGATGAATCTTTTTGGATTTCATGACATAACGAATCAGTCTTGTATCTAAAACTATAATCAATTAAAAATAGTACCTTTAATTAAGATTAATGATGTTTTCTTGGCATTAAAAGTCTAACTCATATCTCAGATTGCTTGTCATAAAATCATTTTAATCTACTCTCTTTAAAGGCATAAAGAGGTAGTTCTTAAATGCATTTTCTAAGCTTAGTCTAATTTGAGTTTTGAATAAATCATTGATGAATATTTCATTCATCTTTAATATATCTTCAATCTATTATTCTGTTAAGTAAATCTCAGCTTAGTTTATTTAAACTAAGTCTTGTATACCTCTGTCAAATTCAAAATTCTTAAGGGTTCTAATTTATTAGTCAATTTCAGTGAGTTCTACAGTCCGGTCCTACTTTATTGCTTCAAAGAATATTGTTTCTACGATGTGGTCATACTAAATTGACAAATCTTGCTTGCAAATAGTCAAAGGTGGGATAAATCCAATAGGCTCTGTTGTCATGATGCTAAAAGCCATTTATTCATTTAGGAGCTCTTCTCTAGCTAGCTTATAGATCGGTCTATATTAGTTATGCTCTGAGTAAGAGCAATTATAACTTTATCTTAATACTGGAATTATTGCTGTTGCATAAACTCTTATCATTTATTAATCTCCGACTAATCTATTTAGGCTCGAATCTTTGAAAGATTTTTAGAAAATCTGTGGCTGCATGTTCAAAATAGTTATGTTTTGACTTAGTGATTCTTTCCTTATTGCTTCTTGAGTCTTGTCTGAGGAGTGAAGTCTTTTGACTTGCCTGATGAATTGCTTTATATATTCTTCCTAGTACTCTTCCATATCTGATTCTGACATGTCCTTTGCTTCAATTTGCTTGCCCTTATCTTTGATCCATTTCTCCAAGGTGTAAAAATCTTTGTCAAATAGTAATGACTGAAACTTTTCATCTTTAAGTTCTTCATTAGATAGGTCTATCATTTGAGTATCTGATGGGCAATCAAATTATTGATTGATCTATGACTTGAGTTCAATAATCTCTAAGATATCATTCTTGGAGTGGTCTTTCTCGTAATACTCTTAGAATGGCTGCAATATTTCAGTCATCCTCTCCAGTGCTAATTTGTTGCTTTCTTCGCTTGGACCTACACTTTTTAAGTAGAATTAGAGTGCTCGGAATTAGTTGAATTTGTGAACTCTGCTGATGTCCTTTGTTAGAGGTTTCTCTTAGACTGGAACAGTTAACATCATTTACGATAGAGCAAAGCCGTACTCAACGTCACTATAGCTGTAATCTTTGCTTTGGTACATTAGATTCTGATTGAGTTTTAAATTTAATTATAAAATGATTTGAGAATTTGATAAATTAAGTTAAATTTAAATGGGTAAAAAGAAACCAATCATAGAGTACACACCAGAGATAAAATCGGTATATATTTGCGCCTTTGCCTGCATTCTGACCTTTATAAACTTGGCTGATGTTTTCAGTACAATAGTCTCAATCTGGCATGCCTATAACATTAACTCATATTATAAGGAGGCTTTTACTTTCTTTACAGTTAGTTATCATGGCTTTCAAATTTTTCTGTTTGGAGTTATGTGTATTTATGTCTTTAAAATACGAAAGTAAATATTACTTTGATTTTATTGTTTAGACTGCATGATCATAAAGCTCTATTCGGAACAGTTAGTGATTCCGATGAGGAATATGCATAAGGGATAAAATGCCTTTTATTCATGTACAGCCCCCTGATGGCAAACATCAAATTTCTAGGAGGTCTTAGTGCTTTTATTGTGACTGTAGCAAATAGAAGCAATTACTTCAATCAGATTTACTTTGCATCTAATTACTTATTGGAGGCATTGATAAGCAGCGGCCCTCTAATAATAATTTAATCCTTATGTGTGATAGAATTTGATTTTGAAAGAGAATACTACATTCAAAGTCTATTCTTCTCTGTTCTTTGCTTTGTTGTTAACTTTGCTTTTGGAATTTATATGCTTGCCGATGGAATCAAAGTAAGGAGAGATTTTAAAGCAGTAGAAAGCAAAATCTATTAATTAGCTGCAAGGCATAGTAAAAACTGTGACATAGGTGGATGTAGTGACCAGTAAACACCTTAAGTTGAAACAAATCGAATGAATACATGTAATTAATTCATATGAAATATTCTTAATTATCACTATTGCAATTTTACACATATAGATCTCAGTGGGGTTTTGGGGTTTTGGGGAGATCGGAAG